TCATACATAGCCTCCAATAACACCTACGTCTGCTCTGTATATCTTAAACAAGGCAATCAACTCCTTAAGCAAATACAGTTTTGCAGGATTAGGACTAGTAGCTGCGGACATGGGGTAAGTTAGCCCTTCAGTTCTAATTTAATGAGCACTATAAATACTGTTAAGATATATCTTGTTATGGTGCCTAATTAATATACACTAGCATACTTAGCATACTATCTCAGGCAGTGTTTTGTTTTTTTTATACCCTTTAGCCTTTACTAGCAGGAACAAAAATGAAACAGAATGCTGGGTTTTTAGCTAATTTATTGTCTTCCTCGAATAAGTTCTATGTTGATGTTGAATATTGCTTTATTCTTTTTTGCATGAGTTAGGCAAGGGCAGTCTTCATACTTGAGTAATTAGCTGGTGGTATTGGTTGCAATTCATGCTCCAAAAGAGATGATGTTCTGATGTCTAAAGGTATTTAAACACATGGTTCATTATCAATCAAATTTAATTGAGTTTAAGATTTGTTTTGCCTCAGAAATTAACCATGGGAATTGAGAAGATTACATGGGCCATACGTCTTTGCATAAGTATGACATATCCATTTTCTCTCTGATGCACCTATCAAACTGAATGTTTTATTTTTCTGCAGAAACTCTGTTGGCAATGGTTATTGGACATTAAATTTTGAATTCGCAAAAATTTTGATCGAGCAGCAAAGAAATAAAATATTCTAGATTTCTAGTGATAAAACATGGTAAGAAACTCTTGCTTTCTAACATAAAGCATTGAATATGATGGGAAACCTTGCAAATCATATGATAAAATCTCTTTTCTTGCAGTAGTTCTTCAATTTTGCTCATGATTATGGTGAGTTATAAACTTATTCTTGTGGCTTCTGATGTTCTGTTAATACATAATAGTTTTAGTGTTTACTGTACATCGGGTGGCTGCCCTTCACTCATAAATATAATTTAAGATGTTAATTATTTTACACGGTTCTAGAAACTTGAAATGCATGATCTCATACATGACCTTGCTCAAAAGATAGCTGGGAAGGAGACCTTGACATTGAGTACTTGTAGTACACGTGAAATTGAAGGGAAAGCTCGTCATCTGTTTTTTGATGGTGAAGAATGCCCGGCTAACTGGTCAAGTTTAAGTAATTATACCAGTAAAACATTGCGCACTTTATTCTTGAAGTTCAGTTGTTTTATGGGTGATGATGGAGGGAATGAAGGGATTTTGCAGCCAATTATTTCAAAATATAGTCGTTTTAAGGGTACTGTCTATACAATTTTCTGCCTCTAGACCTTTATCAGACACACTAGGTAGATTGTTACATTTGAGGCACCTTGAACTCTCACATTATAATTTGAAGATGCTTCCTAAATCGATAGACTTGAAAGCTCTTATCAATAACCTCAGAGGTGATCTTGAAATTAGGAATTTGAACTCAAGCATTGGGTTTCTTGATAAATGTATGACAGTAAAACTCGATTCTTTGAAAATAAAATATGATCTTAATTGTTCGTATCAATTTGAATAATTTAGAAAATTTGGGAACAATTACGGAGGCATTTCGAAGCTGCGCCTCTTCTCTTCAACACCTCGACATTAGGGATTGCAAAGGAATGGAGAATTTGGGAATAGAGCATCTCACCAAATTGAAATCTCTCGTATTAATGGAAAATATAATGGATACCATGGAAATCTCTTCACTCTCATTTTAAGCCTGAAAGGATTTCTAACCTTACTGAAAAACACAAACACGCATAATTAAATGACTTTTAAGATATGATGGGGAACCTTGCAAATCATATGCACCATAATAAGCTCCTATTATCTGTTTAATTGTTCTCTGTTGTGTAAGTGAGTATTCTGTTGTATAAGTAATTATTTAGTAACTTTTATTTTTGCGAGCCTTTGCAGGAACATTATGTTGCAGCGGTTTCTTGATGCAATGGTATTCCATTTGTAATATGAAATGAAGCCTTAAAACTGGAGGAAAAATGACATTTTTTTTTTGGCTGCAAGTTGCTATTGTGATTATAGTTATTCCAAAGAGAATGAGTTGGAGATGCGCGATGCAGGTAAATAAATGTTTCTTTCTTACATGTAGGCTTCTCTTTTTTTAAAAAAATGATTGCAGCAACTGAAAACACTTCATACTAAATAAATTTCTAAATTTTGCAGTGCCTTAACCCAGATGCTCCTATATGCTCGAAACCTTTGAGCTTATGTAAGTCCAAAGAACATGACCTTTCACTTGAATTTGGTTTTCATTTGTTTACATTGACTCTGATTTTCTGGCCACTTCTACTATATTCATCTCCGCATTACGGGGTATAACTCTTGCAAATGCTGGTTTGTGGATGTCTTTACCATACTTATATTGGAAGCCCTGAAGCATTGGATTCTTATCGGTTTTGCTTATGCTCTTGCCACATGATAACTGGACGGGTTGAAATTTAACATAAACGAAAACATGCAGGTTAAGAAGCTCTCAATGTTTGTTTTTTTTATCTGTCTAATATTTACTTAACAGTTTATAATGTGAAATATGGCTAATTATTTACATGCGTTTGAACAATGACAGTCCAGCTGCATGCACACAGAAATCCCTGACAACTCAGGTGATGGATTGCAATCTCCCTGCCCTAGACAGTTTATAATGGAATGGAATTGCTAATTACTGCTCTGTTAATAACCTAGGAGATCATGTTGCAAACTTGAGACCATAGTGCTAACAATTTTAGACTCAGCAACTGTGGTTCTAGCAGCGTGTTTCTGACATTGAATGCTCATGTTATTGGCCGGCTTGCTCGTGTTGATGGACATGGTGACCTGTTGCTACATGATGAAATTGTACCTGATGAAGAGATGGTTCACTAATGCACGATTACCTGTTTTCATTTGAAGTGGATCATGGTTGAGCTGTTGCTGCGCGATGCTACCGTATCAGTCCCTATCAGATGATAAAGAGTTACCTTAGCTTAACTTTCTGTAATTTTTTTGCAAATTTATGTGCTTGTATTCTAGTTGTACGCTCTCACCTTAGCACATGATGTGGGGGCAGTTGACAACCCTTCCTAGAAGGTGGGTTATCTGTCCTTCTGATGCTTTGTACTGGTGAGAAAATCAATACAGCAATATTGCTTTATGTAATGCCTGATATTGAATTTGTAGTGTCTAATGGTGTAGACATGTCTTGAACTTGTAGGCTTACATTCGGGCTATGTTGCTATGTATAACCTATCACGATTCACGAGCATCAGATTGAATAGAGAGACCCACAATTGCATTCTATTTATGACTATCCAAGGTTTTCCTATGTTTTTTCCTATGTGCTTCCTAAAATTACTCCATCAGAAAGATTCAGAACTGATGGATTTAGCATTCTAGTCTGATTGATTTTCTATTGTATTTCTAATAAAAACCATCAACCAAGCCTTATGTTAGTATGTACATATGTTACTCGTACTATTCATCTTACCTTAAGTTCCCAATTAGGGATGTCAACGGGGCGGGGTGGGGCGGATTTTGGCTTTCCCATCCCCATCCCCATCCCTGCCCCACCGGGTCCAATTCTAAAACCATCCCCACCCCACCCCCACTTAGATATCCACCCCCACCTAATCCACACCCAAGACCCGCTTAATCCCGCCTCCAAATACAACAACACTACATAATTTAGATTACAATAACAAAAAAATTCATTGTTTATATTACACTTTTATAATTTTTTATTTTTTTTTTATTTTTTATAATATAAGTATATTATAATGAATTATATTTACTACTTTATTTTACATAATTTTTTATATGAAATAGTGTAAAAGTATATAATTTTTTTTAAATACATAGATGGGTATGGGGTGGGGATGGGGCGGGTATAAAGCGGGGCGGGTGGGGCGGAGCGAAGATAGGGTGGGTACAACCTAAAATCCACCCCCGCCCCGTCACCATGATAGGTATGGTTTTTATCCCCATCCCCTCCACACCACCCGCCAAACCGGGACCTATCCCCGCTCCATTGGGGCGGAGATGAGATGAGGCGGGTCTCCTACTTGACCCGCCCCACTGACACCCCTAGTTCCCATGTCCTATCCTCAAAAACGCAAGATATAAAAAAAAAAAAAAAAAAAAAAAAAAAAAAAAAAAAAAAAAAAAAAAAAAAAAAAAAGTGTACTTGGAAGTTGCAATCTTGAATGTTCTAAGTGAGCTACGATGTATATCTAGAGAGTATATCATAATTCAGAAAGTTGAAAATGTCTCAGCAGATGACAAGGATTTTTGTGAAATTAACCACTCCATGATCAATTGATCATACGTTGAGGACAATATACTCTCTCTAATTATATAAATGTTTCAATATTCCATTTAATGCTGTTTATCAAGCAAGGCTTGGTCCGCAAATACTATACCAAGGCCTTAATATCACCTTTATTCTTATCATTTCTTGTTTGAATCTTACTAGCAAAATTGCAAAGATAACCATTCAAACTGAACAAAATGGTTTTTGTTGGGTAGGTGATAACAATAAAATAAAAGATGTCATAAACAATACAATTACCTTATAAATTAAAAGTAATATACTCCGTGTACATGAAGTGACGAAGAGAGTGGAATTTAGGAAAACAGATGTAATATTTCTCTGTTTCAAATTAAATGACATATTTTATCACATGAAATATCACACAACTATGTTTTTTTTTTTTTATTATTATTATAATTCCCAGAAGTTTGTCAGGCATAGTATGTACTAGTAGATAAATAAAAGTCAAAATATGTTACGGAGTACTAGTAATTGATTTGAAACGGGAGAAGTACCACCTTTATCATTTTCAAAAGAAACAGCTGTAAGCCAGTGATTCCCTGAATGATGAAATGATAAAATCTAAAGTTTTGTTACCCTGTATTTTTTGGAATATGTGGATATAGGCCTGGCTATTTATCGATGATAATTTCTGATTATGTTCAGTCAAATATGTGGTGTGGATCAAAAGGTATGGACAGTAACAAGGAAATAAACTTTCATTTATTTATCGGCATTAAATTGATATTAACAATCCATAACATAATGAAATTTTAAACAGTATTTTATCCTTTCAGTTCTACATAATGACATTCATACAGAAAATGCAATTCAGATGGAAGGCTGTCCTCTGCCAGTTTCAATTAAATGTTTGGTCCTCTAACATCCAACTTCCATCGAAATGGCAAATCAGCTGATTTAGTAGCACGAAAGGATTATATCAACTATGTATCAGTACAGCCACAGGCCGCAGCCATCTTGAAATGAACCATCAGCGATGATCTCCGTTGGCTGCTAAATTAGATAAAGCCCTGCAAGAACCACACATCATCAATTTATTTACATTATATATTATGAGCTACTTTGCATGAAAGGAAGATGCCGGTGAAGCCTAAAGTCAGTAGAATGTTACTTGGGCTAAATCATGCCAGACACAGGAATGTGTCAAGCTATCTTAAGAGATAGAGAGTCCAAGTACCACAGGAAACAGGTCTGATAACAGTCCAACTAAAGTGGAATTTATTGCTTTACATATCAAGATTATCAAACATCCATTTCGGGGTAAAAAAATAACAGACACAAACACACACAAAAGGGTACATATATGAAGTAAGAAGTAAAGGCTATCAACTTTGCTCATCCAGGTACAACCGGATCTTAAATGCAGTCTCTACCACAGACATAGAAATAAAAATCTTTAGAAAAGTGTCACCGAAAAGCCCTGACCTGTGAAATATCGAGTACCACTGATGATATCAGCATTTAAATGAACAAAATTATCAATGTACTGCCAGTGATAATATCTTGAGAATGTAAGGGCATGTGAATACCAGGTAACAATTTATCAACTATAAGACAACGAAATTAGAGGATGCTATTAGGATGTGACAAACAGATTTGCAAATTAACAAGAGCAGAAAGACATATCAGCCAAACCATGGGATTCCTAGAGCTAGACCACAAAAAAAGTTGATTAAATTTGACTAAATAATCACAACTGTCAACCTCAACCAACACCTTTCTGATTATGTATGATGGTAGGAAAAGTGAGAGGGGTTGGGGGTGGGGAGGGGGGGGGGGGTGGTGGTCAAATTCACAAAATTCAGTCACTTTATGAAAATTGAATGAAATTAGAATTTGATGTAACACGAAACACTTTAATTATGGTAGCGTTTATCAGAACATTAAAATTCAAGATGTTGAATTATTGATTAACCAGTCAAACACCTCCTCAATTATTGGGTTCATCAATGCGGAGTTCAGCTCATGTATCCTATCGGGTTCGGGTCCGGTTCAAATTGGGCTAAGGTTGACTCAGTTCGAGTATGATATGAATTTGTAGCAGGTTAGTTAAGGCCAGATCATCATCGGGTTCAGGTCAATTTTGGGTTGGGTCATTGTCAGATCACGTTAAATTTGGATCAGGTCAAGTTTAGGTAGCGTTATTAGCATGTTTGTGTATGGGTCATCATCCATGTACATTTCATATAGTATTAAACAGATTCTATTAGGGGCATGTATGTAAGTAATGTAATTGTATAAGATAAAGGCTATCTAGGTTGTATTAGAGTTGAGTTGAATACAAGTTGTACTATTGACAAGTCCAGATGAATTCGAGTTGGGTCAATAATAGGCCATGTTGAATTTGAATCGGGTCAATAACAAGTTGAGTAGGTCAGGTTGAATTTAGTATTCAACAGGTTAAGTTTGGGTCATCCTTGAGTTCGGGTTGGATTTGGTTCAAATCAGTAATTTGGATTAGGTTGATTGGTCTAATCAGGTTCAGGTTTGGGTCTCGAGTGCGGATGACAACCCAGGACTCAGGTTGATTTCAAGTTGAGTGAGTCAGATAAGGTCCAAGTCTGGTTTGGGTTAATTTTACAGGTCGGGTCTACTTTTGACAGCTCTACACAGTACACACTATGATTGTTGGCCTGTATGGCCCTCATAAGCGAATAGAAAAGAGATTCCAGCAGCTACAAAACTTGTTCAGATTTTGCCAATATAAAGTTCAGCCTCTTAAAATGTATTATAGCAGTAATTACCTTATATTACAAGGCACTATTAGCATCTCTGACCAAAGCAGGCACAAGTAGCACTCAACTGAACCACCATTCTAACATATTACTTCTCATACAAACAGGTAAAAGTTGCTATTAACATCAAACACAACTTCCCTTACAGCAGCTATTTCATTCAACAGTTCAACCAGCTGATGGCTAATGATACTTTACCACAACAAATATTAACTTACGAGATTTATCATACTAATCAATACTCAATTATTGCATCATTCTTAGTTTGACATTCAATAAAAAGTATGTCCCTAATTTTAAAAGAATATTGGAGCCTTATCAGGTTTCCATCAATTAGCAGCAACTAAAAGGCATCAATATATCTTTGATTTGACAAGCCCAAAGGAGAATAATAACCTTTCTTTACAGATTGCAAAAGAACATATTCTTTTGCCCCAGGAGGAATGGGTAATCCAACAAAGAGGGAAAAGAATAACTTTCAGGCTACCCATAAAAGAGGACAGGAAAACTACAAAGACATAAAAGCTTCCTATATCGATAACATATGAAAAAAGAAAATTAGGAGACTGGTGCCAAATAAATTATGTAGTACAAAGTATTAGTCCTGGAAAGGAGTTCTGATGCAAATAATACAAACATACACGAACACATCTTCTGATGCATGTGCACATATATTAAGACTAAGAAACAGAAACTGCATCTAGAAATAGCTAATGCCTCCCTCCTCCACACCCTAATTCAAAATCACATATCCACAGTCACAGACATATGCATGTAGGCACATCCCCACTCACACAGCCACACATACAAAAACTAAGACTAAAAACAGTTACTGCAGAACGCCAGAACCCCATCCTCCAGTTTTTTCAATGTACAACCTTATATATGATAGGACTTAAATTTTCCGTTAGTCACAGGCAGTTTCAAATAAAGGATCACCTTAATGGTGCTCAGAAGATGATATATCCTAAAGCTAATAGTTATTTCCATAAGTTAAGGTACCAAACTCATTCAAGAAATCTTACCTGACTACGAAGTTTTTTCCTAGCATCAAGAGAGCATACAGTTTCGAGTCTGAAATGTGTTATGTAACACATAAAGATAAGCTGGAAGCATGATGCCGAGTGTAGAAGCAAACTGGAGATATGACCTTTATCCATACATCATCGAGAGCGAATAGTTATCATTGCCCCAAACCACATTTGATAGCTCTTATTAGTTATTATTACATGATGGAATGCAACTTCCATACTTTATCAAGTCAAACAAAACCATAACCCACCAGGCTCTACAGCAAAATAACCCCAAAGCAATCCTTCATCATCTGCATACCCTTTAAATACAACTGTCACATGCCCATAATCAAGTGACTGCGTGCAGTTCATTCGGCTATTATCCCCCACTAACCCTGGATGCTTCATCATTCAACAACCAGTTCAATCAATATTTTGACTACTCCATTCTCTGTTCCTCTCATGATCTCATTCCAATCCACAAGCACTCCAACAACTCACAGTTTCTTAACAAGTAGTTAAGATACCTGAGCTAACCACCAAAAATAAGATTTCTGACAGTCCAGCCTTGGACCTCAAGACACAGCCACAACCAAAATTTCAATTGATCATGCCATCACAGGGAGCAGTAAAAATTGCACACTCAAGAATTTGTGTTTCAAGTAGATATGTCAGAGAGTTCCCTTTTATATCCCTTCCATTAGTTTAACACCAAGGAGAGCCCTGGTGACTACAGTACTTGACAAAATACAGAGATCCAAGCTTATATGAGATAACAACAAAGCACATATTTAAAAAAAAAATAAAATAAAAAAAAATAGAGGTCTTAGAAATAAGGTTAATTACTTAATTTGTATTTTGTTATATATCAGTGAACAAGCAAAAACAGATTTTTTTACAGCAAGATTTTGACTACACCATCAGAAAAGAGGGGAAAGAAATTTGTGTTGTTCTTAGACACTGATGGAGTTGATATAAAGACCATCTCACATCTCAGGAGGCAAAAGGAAGTAAGACTGAGATAACAGCAGGTTTACTTGATAGGTGATGGCCCTGATGGGTGTTGGAATGAAGAACAACAATGGATGAGCTCGAAGAATATATGGCGGAAGCACAAAGGATGAAATAAGCATGAACAAAATTATTTCAAGCACAACCTAACTCTAAAATCCAAAAAAAAAAATTACAAGGAAACCTGGGGAGCAGTGTAACAGACAGCAATCAAGTTATTACAAACTTGATCTGGATTGGAAATGGAATTGAGAGTGAGATAAAGACAGGTTTAAAAGTAACTGAAGATTGGTGGAATGAATAACAGCAGGTAATCTTGAAGCACATATGACAAAAGCATAAGGGAGGGAACAAACATGAACAAATTAATTCCATGCATAACCTAAGCCTAAACCAAAAGGCTATGAAGGTAACAAGGAAACAATAACTAAGTGCAAAATAATAATGGAGTATTATATCCAATCCTGATTCCAGCATTGAAGAACCAAAAATGCACACAATAGACAACAAGAAAGGCATTAAGAGAGTCTATAGCATTATCCTTTCTACCCATGAATATTAGCGACTGCTGATTAGTTAAGACCATGCTATACCAGTTAGTCTCTTTCTCTAAGCTATGTAATGAGTGATAACTGATAAGGGCAATAGCAAAAGCTCATTTGTCATCTGCAGTCTCTGATTTCCACACCAATTCACTGGCATAAACACCTTAACTTTAAGGGATAGAGAAACTAACGATTATTAGTAGTCACCAGAAGTCCACAAATAATTCTAAAAGCCAGTAGGTCACAGTACAATAGCTCTAAAGGCCAGTAGTCAGTCAAAACCAATCAACAAAAACCACTTCACTTGAACACCATTTCTACAAAGTACAATATGCTATTAAATCTGCTTCTGCAACTCTGTTTTACCATCAACCGACCACAACAAGTAATATAAATGAAATGATACGCCAGTTAATAGTTCAAAAAACAAAGAAAATGAATTTCTTGGTTTCATTAGATAAAGAGGGCACAAGGGAGGGAATCGTTCACCTAGAATGAGTTAGGTATTTTGAAGACAGAAACAGAAGGCTAAAAACTAACTATCCAAATGATAAAGATTGATTGAACAAAATACGGTAGTTCTCTGGCTCCACCAAACCCTCTCTGCACCGACTGCAAGTAAAATGGATGTGATGATGAAGAATCCTAACGCCAATCCTACAGTGATTAATCTACATAGGCTAACAAAACTTAAGCCAACAAGCTGATAGCAGATAGTTCCAGTGATGAAATTGCCAAAGCATTGCTTTAGGGAAGTACAACACATCATTGGCCGTACCAATTAGAAGCTTTACATCCTGAGTCTTAACTGCAACTTTGAGTTTAACAATACAGCTAATGGCAACCCCTATAATTAGACTACACCACTCTACAGGTTACCAAATGAATTGGAGCTAGATAAGCTCAGAAGTAAACTATGTAACCTATGTAACTATTGTAATACCACAGAACAATATATATCAAAAAACAAAACACAAGTAATGACACAAGTTTTCTGGCTTTCTTCATGCTGATTCATAAAAGCAGGCCAATCATGAATGGATAATCCGCTAAGAATCCCGTAAATTATTGATTTCGAACACAATCAACAGAGAATTCAATAATACTCAATATGATATTACAATCACAGCAAGATATATTTCAATTGGAAAACTCTAATTACTAACCAAATATCAATCATCACACAATTCTATCTATCCATTGATTCTTCAATACATCAAAAACACCAAAATGATATCAATAGTCAACTAACCAATCAATAACAATTTCAATATTTAAAACAAAAACCCATGATCAAAAACCAAAAAGAAAGAAAATTTCCACTTACTTTTTATGCTTTCTCCCTTTCTTAGGTCCCCAACCGATCAATTTGGCAATAGGGCAGCCACATTTAGCACGAAAAAGAAGAACAGCACGACCATTAGGCGGCGCCATCTTCCTCAACTCAGCTCTAAGACACTCATAATCAGGATTAGACTCAGTCCCACCTTTCCACGGCAATTTATCAATATCATTGGGCCCCGATTTCAAGCAATCCTCAATCTGCAACTGCAAATCAAATTCCAAAGCCTTCTTCAACCCTTTACACTTAGGGTTATGACATTTCCGGGATCGAAACCCAAACCCAAATCCACCGCAACAGCAAATCTCGAAAGAAACAGCAACGAGAGCGAAAGAGAGGAGGAACCCAAGAAGGTAAATAAGGGGGAATTGGTGGAGGAGAGAGGAGTGGGAGATGAAGAGGGGGGGAAGGAGGAGAGAGAGGGAGTTGAAGATGTAGGAGAAGTAGGAAGTGAGGAGGAAGGTGCCGGAGAAGAGGACGAGGATGAGGATGAGGAGATCGAGGGTGGCGGTGGCGGAGGGGGAGTGGTGGCGGCAGAAGAGGGTGGAGGAGTGGTGGTTGACGGCGGAGGAGGAAGATGGTTTGCGGGGTTTGGAGAGAGGAGAGGAGGAGGAAGAAGGAGGCATGGTTGTAATTGTGGTGGGGAAGGAAGTGAGGAGAGAGAAAATGGGGTGTGGGTGAAGGTGATGGCGCATGTTAGTGTAACAAATGGAGGTGGGTGATGGGTCAAGGTAGTGCCTTTTTGGGGATGAGATTATTCACAAGGAAGGTGGTCAGTTTTTTTTTTTTTTTTTTTTTGGTAAAAAAAATGGGGGTTTTTTTATTTTTTATTTTTTTAAATCGGGTGGTTTAATTTTTTTTTATTGAAAGAATTTGTTTTTGTTTTTGTTCTTAAAACGAGTGATTTTTTTCCGTGAAAAAATAAAATAAAAAAAATGAGTGTTTATTTTGTAAAGTTGGGGGGTTGAGATTTGTGATGAGGTTGGGTGGAGAGAGAAGGGAAAGACATGGGACAGGTCTTAAGACCATCGTGAGATTTGAGGGAGTTTTTTTAGGAGAGAGAGAGTATTTGTTCCAAAGGATACTAATAAGTTGATATTTAAATTTGGCAAATTTGAATATCATTTGACAAAAAGTGTGGATCCTTTATTAATATTATAATATATTTTGTAATTTATTTAAGTTTAATTTTATTATTTTTTGAAAAACTTACGATATAAATTTGATGGACCATAAATTGAAAGTGATTATAGTATACTTTAGAGAGTCTCACCATTGAGAAATTACACTTCACATGAGGAGCTAAATTGAGAAGTGTGTTGGGTATCACCATTTGAGGTAAAAAACAACTCATTTTGTATTTTAATACTCAAACTTGAGTTTCACAAATGGAGATGGTCTTAGACTCTTAGTGAAAATTTGGTTGAGTAGGATCTAAACTAAGGTGACATTTGCAAGTAAGGAGTTCATTTTATTTTACTTTTTATAATTTGTACTCCGTAAATGGTTTATTTAGAGGGAGCCCCGTCTAATCTTCAAGATAAATAAATACTCCGTATTGTTTATTTAGTGACTTTTAAGTAAATAAATCAACAGAATATTCTAGTTAACATGGTATTTTTATAAATAAATTAACATTTATGGAATCCGTATTTAAAAAAAGTTGTTAACTTATTTATAAAAATGCCACTAGATAAACACTATTTTTGTTTATCATGAAAATCAACTTGTATTTTCTTGTTTATCTCATAAATATCCACTATTATTTTATTAATTTTCTCTCGTACTAACCCTATTTTTACAAATATTTTATTACTTCTCTCAAAATTTTGAAGTTAATCACACTTTCACAAATATTTTAGTATTTCTCACAAATTCTTTACTATATTAAATAAAATTTGGACGAAACCCATCACAGAGGCACTTACTACACTTAAATAATGTAGTTTTATTAATATTAGCAACAAAAATATGAGTGAAGAAAATAAAAGAGAGGGTTGAAAATAGCCAAATTTTGATTTTATTGGTTTATATAAAACATTAAACCCTAGAGAGAAAAAAAAAAGGGAGAGTGTATAAAGGGTAGTAAAGAGAAAACATGATATTAATTTTAGTAGACCTAAAATTATCCTTTCTTTTAATAATCTTCCCTCCGTTTTAAAATGATCTTCCTACTTTGATTGTATACGTCTGTCAATGAATTACTTTGACCACAAATATCTTTAATTGCATATTAATAAAATATATGACAATTGAATATTAATAAACTACTCATTAAGACGAATCAAATATGATTTAACATGATTACATGACTATGTTATTTTAGAAGATTCTCCCATCTTATGAATAGTGCTAAGATTTCAAACGGAAGATCATTAAAAAAAAAGACACGTCCATATAATAATCTGTTATCCTTAATTTCTCAACCTCTAACATCTTAAGTCTTCTATGACTCTAATATAAGTGAATGAGTAATGTTCGTTTGAGATAAATTCACCTCGATACAAAAATACTTTTTTATTAGTATCAATTGTTCTATTAGTACCAACGAGCATTATTATAGTCAATGTTGCTTCAAGCTTTTAGAGGTATAGAATTTTTCATTTGAGTGCGAGGCTACTTGTTGTTAGTTTATTACTATTGATTCAATGTCAATAGTACGAGACTACGAGTACTCTTAATTTTGTAGGTGTAGTGTAGATACGTTTTTCGTTCCAAGTTACTTAACTGATAGGTTTCTTTTATCATGTTTGTCAATGGGAGAATTCAGCTATAAATAACTCTAAGTGGGCCAAATTAGAAAATAACACCTGCAAAAAGACCCGATTTTGGTTATAACACCTTAACATTTCGAAATTTTATTATAACACCTACAAAAATCCCAAAATTTTGGTTTCACCACCCACTAACGGATTTTTGGATGGAAACCGTTAGTGGGACCCACTAGGGACTCGTGTCAGTTGTTTATTGGCTTAAAAATAAAAATTAATAAAAATTAAAATTAAAAAAAAAACCCCTAAACTCTAACCCAGCCACCAGCCCCACCACCGCCGACTGTCACTACACCGCCGGAGACCCCCCACTGTCGTTGGATTCCATTCCTTCTCCGGCGAAACCACCGGCCGTCACCCCCACCAACATCAGCCCCCCCGTAAATCCCCTTCCCCCTTCCTTCTCCCCGAAAAATCACCCCAACCCACCACAACCCTCCACGAAAACCACTTAGCCCCTTCGCCTCTTTCAGACCCACAACCAAACCACCGTCAACAACCGCTACAAGCACAAATCGAAATTTCGCAAGTGGTTCTCCATCAATTTCAGGCGTCAAACGGGAAGTTGTCTTAGCCAAATTCCGGTGGTGTTGCTTCGCAAAAACCGGCTGAAATCGCTGCGAAATTCAGCAGATTCGCAGGTGGTTCTCCGTCAATTCGCAGGTGGTTGTTCGGAAGATTTCGTGGCTCAAGAAACGGGCTGAAATCCTGCAGAATCTGGTGAGTTTCGTCGGTGAAGTTCTGGCGATTTCACTGCTCAGGAAACCGTCAATTGCAAGCTTTAATCCGGAAGGTTTTTCGCTGCTCAACTTCAGGGCTGGGCTGGGCCTGGTATCGCCGGATTATGCGAGGGCAGGTGATGCCGGCGGCTGGGTAGGTGGTGTCGATGGTGGGGCTGCCTGGGTTAGGGGGTTAGGGTTTTTTTTTTTTCTTTTTTTTTAAGCCAATACACAGCTGACACGTGTCCCTAGTGGGTCCCACTAACGGTTTCCATCCAAAAATCCGTTAGTGGGTGGTGAAACCAAAATTTTGGGATTTTTGTAGGTGTTATAATAAAATTTCGAAATGTTAAGGTGTTATAACCAAAATCGGGTCTTTTTACAGGTGTTATTTTCTAATTTGGCCTAACTCTAATTATCAATAAGTAAAAATTCTAAAAAGTTGATATTTTGAAAATACACATTAAGGGGAATGCAACAAAATCTCACATGATAATATTTTTTCTTATCTATAAATTCAAAAGGTTAATCAAACTTAAATATGTGAATAGTGTTAAAAGTCAAAAGATATCATCTAATTTGAAACGGAAGAAGCATTTTTAATGTATAAGATGTTTCTAAGATTATTTTCTTTAATTTATTTCGAAAGCGCACCGAGCGGGTCGGCTGTTTTGTAGTTTTTGTTTCTATCATAACTTTTGGTTCGAACTTCAAATAATATATCTTGATTCTTGAAATCTCTAAAAGTCTACTTTCCAACAAAATAGTGCAAGGGTGTCGATTTTGAATCGAATTTAGTATTTGACTCATACTTTTTTATATTATTCGTTTTAAATATAATTGGGCTTATGATATATCTATCGTTGGAAAGCTTATTTCAAAGGCTATCCAAAGATGTAGGATTTGCATAAAATTTATGAAACACATAAATCAGATTTGCATGATTTCGGGATGCTGTTATGAAAAGAGAAACTCGGGTTAAAGTTTGTGGATTTTGGGCTAGAAAAAGTGGGTGGGTTATTAAAATGAGTAAAATGGCTTAGGAAATGACAATGGACTAGCATAAAAGGACTATTCAAGTAATTTTTCAACACATTACGCGAATCAGACCAAAATAGACAGTAAAGGTTTATTTCGTCACTTGGCTTTATTTGGAGAGATATTTTTAGATGTCTATATTTATGTGTTTTAGTTAAATTAGTCTTGATTTATAGTTATCATATTGTACTTGGTAGGAACTACTCCCTCTGTTTATTTTAAATGCATCACTTCCCTTTTATGGGTGTTACTTTTATATTTGATAACTTTATACTATATTTTATAAATTCTCTCTCTTATTTTAAACCTCATTTACTCTCTCACATACTTTCATTTTCATGGTCCCCGTTTTTGTACTATAATAAATTATTCACCCACTCACAATATTTTATTACTCTCCTTAAACTCTGCGCATCACCAATTGGTGCATTTAAAATAAGAGAGATTACCGTACATAACTAGCTTTTGTGGATGCTCTAAGATAATGCAAAAACTCAACATAGAGATTCATGATTATATAATGGATAATGGATTGATATCAGATCAATAACTAATTATTAATACTTGTATATTCTACTAAAAATTATTGAAAGGACAAGTTTAATACCCCAATTACATGATTAGATGCGAAATTAACTTAATAATATAAAGACAATAAATTGGACCACCGGTTCTAATGAAAGGCACAAGATCGAAGGGAAGAGTTGCTTGTCAATCCCCTTGATTTCCATAACTGTTTCGAAAGCTCTCAAGTGAAAGTAGGGGTTATCTGTGGGCTTAAATTTAGGAATGCCAGTGGTAGAGAACTTGTTCAGAAGAAGTTCCTTATCTAGTGGTATTCCCTTGGTACTCATATCAAGATACTTATAGTTATTGGAAACTTAGCTTAGCTTCTCTTGGATGCGCTTGATAGTCTCAGGCAGAACTTGTTTATCATTATCTTTAACTTTCTCCACTAGAGTGGAGAGTCCCTTGACAAGCTTGGCGAGAGTATCCATTGGTTTCTTCTTCCTTCGAACCGTGTTTCTGAAGAAGATCACTTTTATGTAGGAGTTATCTCGAACTAATCGTCCTTCTTTCCTCGACAAAACACTATAGAAAATGAAACCATGGACATTTCTTGTCAATTACATGACTCAAACTCGATTCAACATCCACATATGAGGAAAATTCCCGAAAGAGAATAATGTATGAGGGAGAACGATATGTATGGAGAAAGTATGTTGGAGGAAAGTATGCGAGAAGATATATACGTATAGGGAAAGTATGTGAATGCGGAAAGTGT